TGAAGAGAGATAGAATCTCAATGTAGTTTTAATTTGCATTTTTCTAATTGCTAGTGATGTTGAACACTTTCTTATATGTTTTTTGATTGATCGTATTTCTTTTTCTGTGAAGTGTCTGTTCAGTTCCTTTTCCCATTTATTGAGTGGATTATTTGGTTTCTTTGGTGTTAAGTTTTTTGAGTTCCTTATATATCCTGGGGATTAATGCTCCGAGGTACAGGTGGCAAAGATTTTCTCCCATTCTGTTCACTCTCTCTTCATGTATAAAACATATTTTTTAATGGATTGTAAACATTCTACTATAATGTTTCTTTCCCTTTTCTTATCATTTGGGTTGTTTCTAAATTTCTTTAATAACTATGAAATAGAATACTGTGTCAAAGGCAATGAGCATTTTTAAGGATTTTTTGTGTACACACATATGCATATATTCATGTAATTGATCACACAAATATGTGTGCATTTGTGTGTGTGTGTACATAAAATGTTCCCTAAAAGGATTTTAAACAAAGTTGCATTGTCACCAAGTTGCCAGATACCTTTTCTTACCCAGGACTCATTAAATACAGTAGTTTGAGGTGTTAAACAAATATGCTTTTGAAATAGTTTAAAAATATAAATTTCTTTGATTTTGAGTTTTTTTCTGTACTTATTAGTTTTATATGTGAATTGTCGGCACATGTCCTTTGACTTCTTTCTGTTGTGATATAATCTTATTGATATTTTCATTGATTTGTAAAAAAGTTCTTTGCTTATTAGGTTCAACATATAAAATTGTTTTTATAGGTCAAAAGCAGTTGAATATCAATAACTTTATACAAATTTTATAAATTTTGTATTTTCTTATTGGTTGCCAGTGTTTTCTAAGTTTACCTTTCGTTTTTACTCCGTTGTGTTTCTTAAGCATATAACAGGTTTAAAATTTTTGTGTGGTTTCATTTAAAGATCCTTTCCTTTGTAGTGGCCTTTAATTGCTTTCTGGCAGTAAAGGTTCTTTCTATCCCAAAAGAAGATAAATATTTTTGTAGTTTCATATTTTTAAATTTAACTTTTGAAATCCATCTGGAATTTTATTTTAATGTATTGTTAAGGCAGGGATCTGTTTACTGAATGATGAAACAATTACTCAGATTCCATAGCTAAACACTGTTGTTTAATTTCATGCCCCATTGCTAAAATCATAAAATAATTAAGTATCCTAGGAATATAACATCTTTGACCTTGGTTCTTCATAAAGTACATTATTCTGTGCTTTGGGTTAGCTAATATGTTTCAAGAATCAGAAATAATTCAGAGACCTTAATTTTGTCAGTGTTATGTCCATTTTTAAATTGGAAAGAATAGTGTACATAATGTTGAATTTAATTGATGACTCCTTGTAGCATAACATTCTATCATTCAGAGAACCTTTTCTTTTAACCTACAAGGAAAACATTATATAAAATGTTCTTTAAGTAGAAGAAGTATGTAAAAAAATCTTGATTGATTGTGTTTCCTTTTTCTTTTATAAATTGGGCTTAACTTTGGGATATTTGTATCATCTATATACTTATATAAAAATTTCCCTTTATATAAGGATACTAAGTGGTAATAATTATTTATTTAGTAGTTTCCTAGGCCTGAGTCAAACTCTTTGTCCATCTTAGATGTTTTAGAAAGAAATTCCACTGATTTATTCTAGAGCATAAAGAGTTTTTCATAGTGTTTCTGTGAAATAAGCATATGATTTTTTTTTTGTTGTTGTTACTGGGTATTAAACCCAGGAGACTTACCACTAAGCCATGTCCCCTACCCTTTTTTGTATTTTATTTAGAGACAGGGTCTCACTGAGTTGTTTAGGGCCTCACTAAATTTCTGAGGCTGGCTTTGAAACTTTCGATCCTCCTGCCTCAGCATCTTGAGTGACTGGGATTACAGGTGTGTGCCACTGTGCCTGACAGCATACAATGTTAAATGAATTAATTTATAGTAGAAATTTATGTTTTTTAATTTAAATACATATAGTTATTCTAATTCTAGAGATAAGAAAAATATAAATTGCTTAAATTCTGTAATGACTTTAATTGTTATGATATTCTGGTGAAAATCATTTGATTAGTTCTTTCAGAGAAAGAAGACCCTAACTCTTCCCTTTTCTGTTTGAACACCTCTAACAGCAATAAAGAGTGTTTATTTTTAGAGTCGAAAGAAATATGTATTCCCCATTATTTAAATTCTGTTTGAACTCAGAAATTTCATATGGTCAGATGACTTTTTAGTTAAGTCCCTTATATCTAAATTGACAGTTATTTGCTTTCTGAAATGATGGAATAAAAGTTATACTACTAAATTACCCAATAACCAAATAAATTTGGATAGGAAGGGACGTTTGTTTTGGGTCATGCTAGCTTTCCTATTATTTAGATCCCTCAAAGGATGAGAATGAAATGGAAATGCTGTCTGTATTCCAAGAGCAGATGATTACTATATTCTTTGAGAAGGTAACTAGGGATCTTCCCTTTAACATCTAGAGTTTCCTGAGCACTTTTTGGATTCCTAGACTTTAGTGGGGCTGGGTGGATTGGAGACCAGGGTACAGTCACTACTGGAAGGGGAGGGAGGATTTGTAATCTTGAAACCTCAGAGCTGTAAGTTAGAATTCCCTTGGCCACTAGGTGGCTTCAGTTGCCTGCAAACAAAGGTTCAAAGCCTAGAGCTACTATGGGGTTATTTTTCACACTTTATTTTAGGAAAATGATTTCATCTGGAGTGTGTTCATTTTCTGAGGTAGATGACACAACAAGTCATATACCTTAAAGATTTCTGGGGATTATCTAGTTTCATCCCATTTAGAATAAAGAATGTTTAAGAGGAATTCAAGTGGGCTCTGCTCTGTAGGGCAAAGGCATAGCTAGAATTCAAGTCCTCTGACTTCTAGTCTAACTCTTTAGCTGTTGGATCAATGATATAATTTTTTTTATTTCAGTGATGCTACACTGCAGGGTTCTGTGGTATTCACCATACATAGCCCTGGAGAAGGTGCATAAGGAATGTTGTATTTGAAGAAAGTGGAAAGTGGATGTTGGTGGTCACCAATGAGATGGATTGAGTAATAATGGTGTCTACTTTCAGCTCAGCCAAGCTTTTATATTAATAAGATGATGAGTTGCAATGATCCATAGTTGGGGCAGTTTAAACATTTTTATTTATTCTGAGTAAGCCTCAAATTTTATGCATCTTATCCATTGTATATTTCCTTTTTTTTCCTTCAGATAAATAGCAACATTTTTTAACCTTTTTTTCTCTCAAAAAGCTTCTATTCAATTGATTAATAGTTAACCTTTAGACCAAGATTAAAATCTTTTTTTAAATTTTTTGATCAAAAGATCACTGTAGAAAATATAACAGAAATCAAATAAGTCTATTATATATCTACCCCAAAGGACTTAAGCCAATATTGATTTTTTTTCCTCTGGAAAAATTAAGGAGGAAGCAAATGCACTATTCATTTCAACTATTTTTTATAGTAACTTCAGAAAATCTTAGTTTTTATTTTTTACAATGGCAGGTTAAAAATTACCCACAATTTATATACTAAGACTAGTTTCTAGAGTAAAACAGAAATGAGAGATTCTAAGAGAAGGAAGAGTAAAAAGATGGTGTCTTACACTATATTATGCTACTATAATGACACCAGAGACTGCATAATTTGTAAAGAAAAGAAAATTATTTCGCTTATGGTTTGGGAGTTGGGAAGTTCAAAGTTTGTATCCACATCTGGTGAGGACCTTCTTGCTGCATCATTCCATGGCAGAAGGTGGAAGAGAAAGAGAGCATGTGTGTGAGACAGCAGGAGACTGAACTTGGAACATCAAGTTCTTTATAAGCAACCTTAATCCATTCATGAAGTTGTGCATCATTGCCTAATCTACTCTCAAAAGTCTCACCTCTTAACACTTTTGCATTGGGGATTAAGTTTCCAATACATGCCTTTTGGGGGATACATTCAAACTGTTGCAGAGGGGGAGGAAAAGAGAAAATCATGATGAGTGATTAGAGTTATGAAGCAGGACGATGGTCTAAGAGTGGAAAAAAAAAACCAAATTTGATGGCATTTGGGAAGGGAAGTGTATAAAGGAAGCGAGAAGTGTATAAAGGAAATGGAAAGAGAGTAAATGTTAGCCCTAAGGGTAGATGAGAAAAAAGCAGGAACGTGTTGTTTTTCTCCTAGGCCTTGCCTGGCTTTTTCAACCATCTTCACTCTTGTCTCTTTGGTTATCCTGACCTTTCTTCTGTACCTCATCCATTATCTTCATCCAGCCAGCATCCCAGCTTCATCTCTCTCTCTCTCTCTTTTTAATGTGCTGCTAAGGATTGGACTCAGTACCTCATCCATTCTAGGCAAGTGCTCTATTACTGAGCTCCAGCTTCAGCCATCCAGCTCCATCTCTTGATCCTTTAGACTTAAAAGTATAGTTCACAGCTGGGCATGATGGTGCATTCCTGTAATCCCATCACCTCTGAGGCAAGAGGATCGAAAGTTTGAGGCAGCCTTAGCAACATAGTGAGACCCTGTCTCAAAATAAAAAATAAAAGGGGCGGAGGTGTGGCTCAGTGGTTAAGTGCTTCTGGATTCAATTCCCTGTGCCAAACCAACCAACCAACCAACCAACCAACTAACCTGTAGTTCTCAAGTTTGTCATGAATCTGTCAAGTGAGAATTAAAAACAGTACCTGAGAGCACTATTCACCATGTAGTTAGGTCCCCAAAATGGTGGCTATTATAAGAATTTTAAAGGCTATTTTTCCCTTCTGTAATAAATCTTAACATTGGGAGTACTTCTGTAAATATAATGATGATTTAAACATTTGAAATAAGTCTTTCAAGTAAAACTTTAAAAATAGATATACAATCATTTTCTTCATGGAATGTCGATACTGAATTGAGTAAAAATGTAGTTTGTCAAGGATAAACACTTTGAATTTTTTAATCATGTCTCATTTTCTCTTCTTTATTGTAGGAACTTAAAGGGAGTGATAGTCACCCTCAGTGATGATGGTCGCTTGCAGTGCTCATACCTGGGGACAGACCCTTCTCTGTTCCAAGCTCCAAAAGTTGAATCTAGAGAATTAAACTATGATGAACTTGATGTAGAATTGAAAGAACTTCAGAGAATTATCAAAGTTGTTAAATCACAAGGTATCTCATTTGCAGCTTTTATTATTTAATTTTAGTATTTATTGTAAAATCCACTTTATCTTGCATATAGACAATGTTTTGTACATACTAGTTAATTTCCTCTCCCAAGATTAATTAAAATCATACTTCAAAGACAGTGTTACTTAGCATGTAGTCTTTGAGCTTACTTTGTATACTAAACTTTCTGGAAAATATGCTGTATTCAAGATAATGCTTTTGTCAATGTGTTTCAGGGTCAGCACTATTTAGTTTTTTTTTTTTTAAAGAGAGAGTGGGGGGGAGAGAGAGAGAGAGAGAGAATTTTTTTTTTTTATATTTATTTTTTAGTTCTCGGCGGATACAACATCTTTGTTTGTATGTGGTGCTGAGGATCGAACCTGGGCAGCATGCATGCCAGGCGAGCGCGCTACCGCTTGAGCCACATCCCCAGCCCACTATTTAGTTTTTTTTTCCCCTTAAACTTTAAGAAAAGGAAAAGTAAATCTTTGGGTTGTGATGTCAGGCCTTGAGAAGAAGGTTAGAGTGGGCATTTATTAACTTCTAATATCCCTGAAAAAAAATTTAGTTACTGCTTTTAAAAGAAACCAAAGCAGTACATGTTGTTACTAAAAATGTAGTAATTTGCAGCTTAGTGATATAATTTATGTTTGGAGTTAATTAACTGTCCAAATGGAGTGTAGCCTGTGGTATGCTGATTTCTAATGACTCAGAGACTGATGATATTTTCAGTTCCTAAGTTTTGAATAACTCAATATTATCTTACTTTGGGACTCACAAGGGTGTAATTTTATTGTAAATTAAAAGGAGAAACAAAACACCAATCCTGGAGTTAGAGTTAGACATGTGAAAAGCATTACTTTAAGTTTCTTTTTCAGGGTCAGGTAAAAGTATTTTTTTAATGAGAAAAAATATGGACTATTCTCGCATAAAAGAAATGTTAAAACAAGTAGGAATTGTAAAAGAAGCAGAGCATCAAAGGCCAACCAAAACAACAGAGCCAATCTTAATCTTGATCCAGTCATTTTCCTAGATTTATGTATTTTTGAGTGTATTACCAAGATTATATTTCTCTGGTTCTAAGGAACTGAGATGATATATATATAAAAATGTGAGTATTAAAAATGAAGTTGTTATGCTTTGGCTTCACACATTCTTTTAGAAAGTTTTCAAAGTAAGCTAATGAAACTCGGGTCTTTCAAGTACCTCCAGTTCCTTAAAAGCTGCTTTGTTGTCAGCACCCCCATGTCGGCTAGAGAATGGTTAACATTGGAGCTGTCATACTGCAAGATACTATTTTATTTTCAGTTTTTGATACCAGTATTTTTGGGATTAATGGAATTATAAGTCTCATCTTGTCATTTAAAAATGTAATTGGGGAAGAGTGACCTGCACATGAATGTGAAATTTCTAGAGTTCATAAAACTCTAGGTTTTCACTCCAAAGTTTGTGCCTTGAGATTTTGCCCTTTGCATGAGCAATGTGCTAATGGTATTTTGATTAACATTAATTGTGTATGAAATTTCTCAGAAAATCCCTTATAGCTAAAAGTTATTCCTTGGCATCCATAATGATGCCCTAGAGTGAGAAGGGTTAGGCTATTTTACTTGTCATTGCCTTGATTCATTTGTGTATCTTGAAATAAGTGCTAATTAAGCTGGAGATATATCCACAGACTTGAGTGCAAAGTTCATTATTTACATAACCTCAAATTTTAGTTAATGTTTGAAGTTCCTTGCCCCTTTTATTCTACTATATTATGGTTTTATTCTTGAAAAAGAAACAAACTTTAAAAAGTGAAGCTTTTAAAATATTTTATTTCTAGATATGGAAAAAAGCTTAGTATTTTGTACCCTTATAAAGCTTTGGTATGCTTGTTTATTAAAATACCTGTAATTATATTAAAGTTCCAAATTATTTCATTTATAGTTTATGAGAAGTTAAAACTCTGAACTTTTTGATGACCTCATTATTCATTTAAATGTCACTTATTTTAGTACAGTGGCTTTAACTTGCAAAAGGAATTCACAGTCTTGTGGGCTGTGTTCTGTACTTAAAGCTCTTAAAAACTTTTTCAAAGGAAGAGTTGCAGCAAAAATTAAAGGCAATTTAAAGAGTACATTTTGTTGTACACATGGTGTGTATTATCTACTGCAATAAAAGTGTTTTGAAGCTGATTTTATGTGTGTAAGTTATATGAGGAATGTATGTTGTAAGCATGAAATTATAGTAATAATTTCTGTATGGCTCATGGATTCTGAAGCTTTTCATATTCAACTCATTAGTGAGAATCCTGCCTAGCATTTTTGTTACCAGTTGGCAGTAATACCTGATGATAGGTACTTTTAGAGATGGGAGTTTTCTTATGATTTAAACAATTGATCATGTTCTCTACTAGGGGTGAGTATGATGCACTGGTTGCAGCATTTAAGATAGGCACCCATATAGTTATGTCTTCAGGATAGGAAAGCAGTAAAACATAGGCATATAAATGAGTCTGCACCCCATTGAAAATATGTTTGGGAAGACTTAGGTTGACATAACCACTCAGTACTAGAAACATTAGAACTTAGTGACCTTGTTAATTTAGGGTTATATCTGGCTGCATATAACAGAATACCTGTATAAGGCAGCTTAAACAAGGTGGAAACTCAGAGATGTGGCAGCTTAGCAGTTCTAGTCACAAGGATTCGGATTCCTTCTATCCCAGGGTCATCTATTGGTCCAGAATGGCTTCTGGAACTTTTGCTCTCACATCTGCAGTTGAGTCAGCCTCTGAAGAGCTTTCCTGGAAGCCACACCCTCAACAGCTCCTACTTACATCTCCCTGGCTATTCCAAATTGCAAAACAGGCAGGGAAGTTAAGTGTTTTAACTGAGTACTTTGTTGCTCAGAATAAAATTGGGCTTATTTTAGTAATGAAGAATTGAAACATTGTTATTGGATGGGCAATGAGTGGCCTTTTGTACTCTTACCAGGTTTAGAAATTCCCTTTCCAATTTTTGCATTATTGGTAGGAATGCCTGGTGGCAATTGTGGACATTTTTTTTTCTTGTTTGTGAGGTATTCAGTTGCTGTCCATGTTTTCAGTCATCTGTCCTCATTGTGTGAGGATGTTTTCCCTTAGGATCACAGGGTAACCCTAGCAGTTCCTGGCATTGTGTGCAGATATGATTTCCAGGGAAGAAGAGGCCTGAGTCTTCCTCTTATGAAGGAAAAACAGCTTTCCCAGAAGCATATGCCAGCATTCCACTATCCCCACTTCTCTTTCCTCCTATTTGCCAGGATTAAGATCATGTTTATCTTTAAAATAATGAATGGTCAGTGGAACGGAATCACTAGGATTAGATTTGAACCTGGAGCCTGAGAGAGGAGACTTTCTCTGAGATGAAGCAGACTACCTCAGTGAAATTAGGGCTGTGCCACAGAGGGAGGAGGGAAGAATGGCTGCTGGCCAGGCAATCAATTGTTGGATTTGTGTTTGTGTGTCCATGAATGAACATATGTCTGTATGTGTATGTATATATATGAAATATATATATATATGTGTGTATGTATGTATATGTATATGTATATATATATATATATATATATATATATATATATATATATATATAT